GACATCTGGGAACAAATATTTGGCAAGACCATCTCAGAAAAGGGTCTCAGCCTACAGCCACTGTGTCATCAGCCACACCGGATCTGTTCTAGTTGATTAACTAGGTACCTGTCTTAAAAAGTACTTAGTGTAGCCTGGACTGCTCTCTTGCCTGAAGCAGTAGACCAACTGAGGCCTTGCTGCCTGAAGGCACCCTACCCCTCTGCCTGGAGGCCTCGTCTACACCCTGCCAACTGGACCCTTGAATCAGCTGCCTGGAGGACCTGGCCCCACAACCTGGACGCTCCCACCTGCAGTCTGCAAGCCCAACTCCACCACCTGGAGGACTTGGCCCTGTGACCTGGACACCCTGCCACCTGGAGGATGACCCACTTCCACCCCTGTGCACTGTGCCAGGAACAGCAATATCACAGGTGATCCCACTTCTTCTCCTCCCCTCCCAGAGCCTGAGCTGCCTTTAGCCCTGGGCATCTTAGACCTGCCTAGCCTAGCTACAGCAATTTCCTGACAGAGAAGGCTGCTAACTTGCAGGTCATATCTCTTCCCAACTGAAGCAAGTCTTCCCTTGAATCAAAAGTTTAGAGAGAAACTCGGGCAGGATAGCTGCCCTGCCATCCTCTGGAGCAGTGACTTCCTGAGCCAAGTTTTTCAGACCAAGAGCCTGCTAAGGCCTCAGGCATGAAAAACTCGACCACATCAATGTCACAGAAGAAACAGACTACCTCACAACCTATAAAACCCAAAACAAGATGTCATCCCCAAAAAGTGACAGTGTCAGTGGATTTCCTAAAATCAGAAGGTCTGATGAACTTTCTGACAGAGAATTCAAAAGAACAATGATTGAATATTTTTAACGGGTAAAAGACAAACTCAGAGAATTACAGGACTGTGCAAGCAAATACTAAGAGAAACTAAAAAAAAACCCAAAACTATTCAAGACAATGCAGATAAAGAAAATGAGGCATCAGAGGCTCTGGGATAAAAACCAAGAAACTACAATCCAGAATATAAGGACCAATGTTTCAGATGCTGTCAATATGTTGGAGGGACATATGAAAAGAGTTGAAGAAATGGAACACATAACCAGAGAAATAGAAGATAGGCTTGTCACCACTGATCTGCTAGAACAAAAGGTAGAATCAAAAAGAAAGGAAAAAGAAAAAAATCTAAGAATAATGTGGGATACCATCAAAAGGAATAACACGTGCATAATTAGAATCCCAGAACAGGAAGAAACAGGTAAAGATCCCAAGAAAGTTGTGTAGGAATTGCTAGAAGAAAACTTCCAGGCATAATGAAGAATGAGAGAATATATACTCAAGAAGCTGACAGAACACCATATAGAATAGACAACAAAAGAAAAAAGACCAAGGCATATCGTAGTCAAATTTGCCAGAACCAAAGATAAGGAGAGAATTCTGAAAGCAGTGAGGGAGAAACAAAAAGTAACCTATAAAGGAAAGCAAGTGAGATTAAATGCCAATTTCTCTGCAGAAAGCATGTGAACAAGAAGATACTGGAATGACATATATTGAACACTCAAAGAATACAAAAGTTAGCCAAGAATATTGTACCCAGTAAAACTGTCCATCAAATATGAGGGAGAGATGAAGATATTCTCAGAAAAGCAGAACCTAAGGGACTGTAAAAACAAGACCAGCATTGCAAGAAACACTGAGAGATGTCCTTCTTACAGAGGTGTCACAGAAAGCAGGATTGGCCAACATAACCAGAAACAACACCAAAAAGAACTCAGCAAAATGATAGCAATAAAACCTAGACTCTCAATGCAAAAACCATCACAAAGGACAAGGAAGATCACTACATAATGCTTAAAAGGTCAATAGAACAAGAGGACATAACAATAATAAATATCTATTCACCACATGAAAGAGCTCAGTTGGCATAGTGGACAGAAAGTGATGCTACCAAGCCAAAGGTGGGTGATTTTAATTTTCGGCCCTCAGGCCTGGTTTTAATTGGTTTTGGTCAAGCATTCTTCTAAATGGTATAGTATTGATCTGTCCATTTGCTCTACAGAGGTAACTCTTGGTGGCTGTGATGCTAAACACTGTGACACTGATGTGTCAAATGCAATAATGGTTACTTATGGTGGACAGTGTTTGGTGGAGCTCTCCCATTAAAACAAGCTTGGAAGCAGGAGTGGCATCCACTTCAAAAAAAGCTTGCCTCTGGAAAACCTGTGAACTTGGAGAGATGATGAAAGTCATACAAGTGTTCAGGTCTTTCATTCAGAGTCGCTATGAGTCACCTACGACTCAATGGCAATTAAAAACAACATGCACCAAATGATAGAGCTGCAAAATATGTAAAACAAACATTAATAAAATGGAAAAAAAGAAATAGACAACACCATCATAGTAGTAGAAGACTTCACTACACCACTCTCGAGAAAAAATAGAACTACCAGAAAGAAACTTAATAAAGATGATGAAGAATTAAACCACACAATAAACCAATTTGATCCCAGAGATATATACAGGTTAATGCATCTCAAAAAAAGGGGGGGGGGCAATATACCTTCTCCAATGTGCATGGAATGTTCTCAACAATAAATCACATTTTAGGTCACAAGGCAAACATCAATAAATCCAAAAACATAGAAATAATACAAAGCACCTTCTCAGACCACAATGCTACAAAATTAGAAATGAATAACAAGAGGATAAAGGAGGAAAAAAGCATACATTTGGAAGCTAAACAACACCTTGTTGGAACAGGAGTGGGTAATAGAAGAAATAAATGAAATTAAAATTTTTCTTGAAACAAATGACAATGAAAATGCAATTTACCAAAACCTCTGGGAAACAACCAAAGTAATAATTAGAGGTCAATTTACAGCAATAAGCAAATACATCCAAAAGCAAAAAAAAATTATAGTTGACTCTCTCACCCAATATCCAATACATTGAAAAAGAGCAGCAAGAAAATCTGATACCCTATAAAAACACTGAAATTTTAAAAATTAGGGCAAAAATAAATTAAATAGAAAACAGAAAAAGAGTTGCAACATCAACAAAACCAGGAGAAGCTGTGGTATATTCACATAATGGAATACTACACCGCACTGAAAAATAAAGAACTCATAAAACATTCTACAAAATAGAGGATCCTGGAGGGCATTATGCTGCCTGAAATATCTCAGTCACAAAAGGACAAACACTGCATAATGCCACTGTTATAAAACAAAACTGACATTGGGGGTTGGGGAGAAACTAAGACAAGAGGGGATAAATAAAGAATACTGCATTGGAACAGATGAGGAACAGAAATGATTAAAAGAAATATATGATTAGGCATTTGCATGTCAACAGTTCAGAATAAGAGGTGCATAGCAAAGTGGACTGGGTGGGGCATGGGAGGGAGGAAAGAAATTGTGCAACAATGAATGAATTTTTTTAAAGAGAAAAGTTAATGGGGGGATTAGAGAGGAAAATGTGCAACAATGAATTAATAGAAATCCAAGTTTTCTGTAAACGTTCATGAAAATCACAATGAAAAATTATTAAAAAATAATAAAAGGACACCCGTGTGGGGCATGGACACATGGAAAGCACTCTGGGAATTTAGAGGGTGCATTAGAGTTAGACATGTCAATGACCATCAAAAGAATCCCTTGACAAACATGGATAATGTTGTTTCTTCTATGTTGTAATGTTATGGTATATTGTAAAATGATTAAGGGTTTTGGGCTGTTAAAATGATGGGACAAATAGTAATTTGTTGTTGTTGTTGTTAAGCCAGTTTGATATTAATTGGATATTCAAAAAGTGGAAATCTTCCTCAAAAGAATGCTTGTAGTAGTAGAATTTGATAGAGTGTGGAGCTTAGCCTAAGAAAGATTAAGCCCCACCCAGTATTTTTTTTTAAATTACAGTGGCATTTTATTTTAAATAGTCACAAGATCTGACACTTCAAATAAAAGACACCACTAATAAATAACAAAAGTGGAAATATTTATCAAAGTTACAACAGACATAATCTTTAGCTGGGAATCACTTCAGAGTAAGGCTCTAACGATACCAGACAAAACAATACTTAACTGGAATATGATGTGCAGCTTCCTCACTTGTGTGGGGTCCGAGAAGAGGCAGTGGTCCTATGTGGTCAGGATTCTGGTCCTAAAGCCAGTTTGCACACAGTTGTGCTTCAGGCTAAATTTTCTACAGCTGTCATAGTCTACGCGGGCTATTGAGGAATGGACCCTGGGGGGAGAAGGAAACCTGATGATTTCTTTCTGTAATTATCAGTAGCTAACACAGTCTCCCTGGAACCAGGGGCGCCGGATTGGATAGGATGCTGGTATCCACATCTGTTGGACCCAGGTTCACAGCCCACGAGGAAGCTGAATGCTCCCAGTCTCTGGGCTATAAGCTGCAGAATAAATTTGAGTCAAACCAGTGACAGGACAGTCAGCAACCCTCTGTTAGCTTGTCACAGAGAATGGTTAAGCTATAAAAACTGAACCAACAGCTCCTTGTATTCAAATGCTTTTCCATCCTCATGACATCTTAAAGTCACCAAAAACGTATTGCCTACCCTGTACAGGTACTAAATACCGAAGAATAAACCAGAAAGAAACCCCAAACACCGGCAAACGGAAAATGATGAAAAATGCCAATCCCCCAGTGTGTCCGTGCCCATCATTTACATCTGCTTCAGACATCCTGTCCACCCACTCCCATCCGACATGGTCCAAGCTGGTCTCAGAGCGATCTGTTCCTAAAATACTTCAGGATGAGCAACTGCTCTGTAGTGTATAAGCCACACAGATCCACATGTCCTTGGACGACACACACCTGTCCCGGCTGACGAGTGTGGGAATCTGCTTGGGTCAGACTCCCTTTGAAACCTTTCCCAATAAACATACTTGGGATCTGTGATCCCTGGATGTGAAGACAGTACAAGAAATGAGGCTGAGACGTGAAAACACTTGGTTTCGGATTAAACAAAAGCCCAGGGTTCTTCGTGGCAGAGAACTAAATCTGGATGATTTGCGCCTGGCATTGTGTAAACATGTTTCTGAGCTCATTCTTCTGGACTTCGTGAAGCGCGTCAGCTTCTGCAGGGCTCTTCTGAACCTTGGCCACTGCCAAGTTGATCCCGTGGGTTAAGCCAGCTTGGGTAATGTTAGCCACCTGGACCATGGAACTCCTGATCTTAGCAAAGGGCGACACTGCTCTGCTGCTGCTGCCGCCTTCTGAAGGAGAAGGGGTTATGTTAAGCCCTGACTCAAGTTCAAGCACAGCGGACGCGGAGCCTGGGGTCTTTCGAGACACAACTGGATGCCCTGATTCCGCCGACAAAAACTGCGGGCCTTTCGCAGAAGAGGACACGTCTAACTGAGACGGTCGGGAGGGGGTCTGTCCCACTGCTTCGTATTGGTTTTCAAAAATATGGAACGCTTCACGAATTTGCTTGTCATCCTTGCGCAGGGGCCATGTTAATCTTCTCTGTATCGTTCCAATTTTAGTATATGTGCTGCCGAAGCGAGCACCCCACCCAGTATTTTAAAGAGAGTTATATGTGAAAGAAGACAAGTAGCTGGTGAGTATGCTCAACTTCTGGTGACTACCTGGGTCCATTTGACGAGTGGAAGTGGGAAACATGCACTAATGAAGAGACAGGCTGAATTTGAACATATTCCTTCAGCATGGTTCACCTAGCATGTTGAATAGAGAGTGAAGGATTGCTTGTTTGTGGAGCAGGTATTCCTGAGGATACCTGATGTTGCCCATGTGAGGCTAAGGTTGAGTGAAGGGACCAGCCAGTCTAAAACACAGGAAAAAGTGTGGTCTCCTGAGTTTGTGACTGATGGGGATTTAGACCTAGCCGGGGATGGCTGGGAATTTATTGACCAGAACCCAAGCAAATAAGGAGAAGATGTTTCATTCTGTGAGCGCGTGATAATAACTGTTACCTGATGGTTTACTCTGGACAGGACTTCCGCTTATAGATGTGGATTCTCAAAGTTTCAACAGTAATAGAAGATTCTTCAGAGAAAAAGACATGTTTGTTTCCTCAGAGAACTAGTTTGACAGAACTGAGCAAATCAGAAATTGACTATCTAAAATTGGGGGAATTAAGAAATAAGGAGTGAAATAGCAGGCTTACATACTTTCATGAATATAAATGATGGTAAGGAGAGGTTGATCCTGCAGATAATGAGAAATAATGGCCAGAAAGGATAGGGGATGGTCTGTGGTGTTAGAACTTCGAAAAAATGGCTTTCAGCCTCTGCTGGGGGTATGGTCTCCAGGTACCTTAACTGTGGACACATGGTCTTGCAAATCATCAACAGCTATGGAACCAATATAAGAGAGTGCCTTCCATCCTGTAAAAAACAGTGGTGGAGAGAGAGAGAAGAAACTGTAGCACTCCTCTGAAAAGTCTGTGGCACTTCTGTGAAAAGACTATGGCAAAACGTAACCAGGGGAACCCTGAAGATAGAGTCACAGCTGAAGGTTTCGCTTTCTAGATGGTTGAATGAAAAGCTGACTTGTAACTATTTTGAAATAAAGTCTATTTGCTGGATGATTGAAGAAATTAAGGTTTCTTTGTGCTGACCTGAACTTAAGACTTTCACTTGTTGACTGAGAAGCTGTCTGAATTGAGGAATTGTGTCTTGCTGTTAGTGTGGCTTGATGTTGCTGCTCACAAAACCTAAGCTTTCAGTATGTGGTATCCTTTGTCTCCTCTACCTCCCAAGTTATTTCCCTAAGAAACTCCACAACTGTGAGTAAAGTCTGTGAGTCAAGGTGCAACAAACATTAAACGCAATGATTTGCAGAAATAGGTGTCGGAGCATGTGGGATAGAATGTCTAACCAGGTAGCTATTTGTTTATACTATGGATATTATTGATAGGGACAGTACCCCTTAATGAAGCAGATAGAAGTCACACTCAGCCATTCCCACATTGCATCTACTCCTTACACACAAGAATTGCTAGAGGATATCTCTGACATGGAATTGGAGGTTTGAACTTGAGATTCTGGAAATTTTACACCAAAAGACAGGAGTTAAAGATTATTTTGTTTAGCTATACGAGTAATAAAATTTTAGAGTTCACAAACTAATCCACATAGCTATATCCAAGATTCAATATTACTTAGATTATACTCAAAAAAGGATAGGCCTTCCTGAGAAAATAAGAATGAGGCACAAACAGAGACTTGTACACCAATGTTCGTAACAGTATTATTCAACATAGAAAGAACATGGAAACAGCCCAAATGTCCAACCACAATGTAATGAATTGAGAAATTATGGTACTTTCACACAATGGAATACTATGCAGCATGCAGGAGGAATGATTTTGTAAATTACTACCTAATATGGGAGGGACTGGAGAGCATTATGCTAAGTGAACTAACTCAGTCTCATAAAGACAAATACTGTACAAGACAGTTATTGTACAAGTATGAGAATCCAAGGGGGCAGGGACTTACTCATAGGGCCTCACAATTTGATGAGTGGATGGAGGGGTGGGTAAAGGAAAGGAAAGGATCTGTTGTGGGGAGAAAAAAATGTTTACACCAATCCAAATATCTTAAATAATTATATAAACTGCCAATTTCCACTGTATAATACTAGTGTCAAGAAATAACATGATTCTGGAAACTCTATGAACTTGGATAAATGATGATAGTTATATAAAGGCTTCCGGCCTTTTGTTCATAGGGTCGCTATAGGCCATGCTTGACTTGATGGCAATCAACAACAACAAAAACAAAACCCCCCCTCCAAAAAAAAAGGTATGACTTAAAGATTCATCATATCCATGGTACTTGTTGTTGTTGTTGTTGAATGCCATCAAGTCTGCTATGACTCATTGTGACCCTAGGAACAATGGATCTAAGCTTTGCCCTATCTTGTGCTATCCTTATCATCTCTGATATACTTAAGCCCATGTTGTAGTCACTGTGTTGATCCTTCTTGTTAAGAGTCTTCCTCTCTTTCACTGATCCTTCTTCCTTCCAAGCATGATGCCCTTTCCCAAGGACGGACCCCTCCTAAAAACATGTCATCTGTAGAAATGTGTTCCAGGGACAAAAGAGAGCTTAAGAGAGGATTCTGAGAAATGAAACTTCGTGCTAAGTGAAAAATAAAGCTGAGAGTTAGGAGTCTAGTGTATAATAGAAAAACAAAGAATGAGTGATAAATCCAACAAACAGTATTATTTCTTGAAGAATGGAAAATTAATGTGAAATGGAATACCTTGCTTGGATAAGACAATAATTATTACAAATATTTTTTTAGGTTATAAGATGAGTCCTGGACATTTTACTGAAAGCATCAATAAAACATTAAATATTAATAAGAAAGCTAATAACAGCAGTGAGGAGGTTGATTGAAGAATATTGTAAACTAATGGCAAGGGAAACTAGAAAAGTTTGAGAGAAGAGAAATTTAATTCTATTTTTATGACTAGACCAATTTGAGAAAATGTCAAAGCTTGTATTAAAAACGTCAATAAAGTCTTTATTAGTAGTTACAGTTATGGAAAATAGAAACTATAACATAGTGTAAAAAACTCAAAAGGAGTTAGGTAATAGAATTGATAACATTGTTGGAAAAACTTTTTTTAGGGAGTCAGTAATAATATAAAAAATAATTTAAATAATAAAAGCACAAACATTTATGCCTACTAATCTCCTCCTTAGGTAGGAAGGAATTGTACTTCTGAGGGTAAGGATGAAACATTTAAAGATTGCCCTAAAAACTGCAATCTGCATTATTAATATGCAAAATTCAAGTTAAATACAGATGATAGGCTCAGGCCGAGTCATTTGGGCAGGAAAAGATGGGCTATCTGCAGTCACTTTTCAAGGGCCTCCCTCTGGGGAGCAGTCAAACTCTGAATACTTGAACTGAATTTAATGAGTTATATGGGGCAGGACACTCTTGGGGCCATTAGAAAATAGAAACACTTTCAAACACCTCATTCCCTAAAGCATATACCTTGACTTTGGTGGCTTATAAAAACATCCACTAGATATCATATCAGTCCTTTTTGTGGAAAATTCCATAGAATTGACGGATTTCAACTCTTGTTTTATTACAGACTCAATCATTATGCCCTAATTTCTACTCCTGATGTGCTCCGTAATCAAATTGGTGGGTAACCTTTCTAGAAAAGCCTGGAGATGACACACTTATGATTAGTCATTTTAAAAAGAATTGGTGCTGCCTTTGCTTACCTGAGTGAGTAGCAATTTTCACTTTACTTGACAAAATCTACTACTGAATCACTGAACATACCACACATATGAGATCAGTATTCATGTGATTTCATTGGTTTGCTATTCACTTTCCTATAAACATGGCAATATTCTTGTTTCATAAAAGAACATGATGGACCTTTAAAAACAATTTTGCTTCTTCAGAATGGGATAAAGATGGACAATTTCCTCCCTTTCTGTCTCTGAAAACCCAATAGAGAGTCAGGCTATAAGATGGTTCCAACTTGAGGCACACAACAGTAGGAACAGTCAACTAAAGGGGATCAGTCTCCAAAAATATTTTTACTGTAAATTTTTACTAGCCATACACTAATAGAAGTAACAGAAATAATAACATTAACAACAATCTTTTTTAAAAAAATTTCATTGCATCTTAACTCATTTTTTTAATTTGAGAGACTTAGCACTGTATAACAGACATTTATAATTAAAAATCACTGCAAATTGGCAGGCATGATTATATGATCCCATGCTAAAATTTATGGTAAAATAGACCACATTAATTCAATGATACTTTTAGGGTTGTAATTAATTTTACATAAGTCTTAAGAGAATATATGCCTTCTTGGTTCAAATTACCTCTATGCATTATTATGAAGAGCACAATCATTGAAAAGCATGTTCATCAAAAAGTTATGAGATATTTTAGTCATCTCTGAAGCATAACAAATTCAATACATCTTAAGGAGTTTCAAATGGACACCATGGCAAACTAGAGAAATTCTTTCTAAATGACTCTTAAAACACACAGAAGAAACAAAGGTATCCACCAACTATTTTGATAAGACACATTTTAGGATCAAATGCCAATTTTACAATTCTATGTATCCTAAAACAAGGTCTAAAAATGTGGTATAAAAATTAAGAACTGTGCTATCACAAAAGACGTGCTAGAATGTTCTGTTTATGTTAACATATAAAATCGTTCTATTCAAAGACAAACATGCTAGTTTCAGGAAAGAATTAAAGGCTAATAGCATAATATCTTGTGGGTTTGGGAGTTGGTTTTTGGGGTGGTTTTTTTTAGAATAAACTATCATAGAAATAAAGATGGGAGCAAAGAGTTTTGAATCTCAAAGCTCATAAACAACAAATTTATACTTAGAATTCAATAACCCGATTTCCATTTTACTTCATTATAAAATACATTATTCCAAATGTATCTCTTCCTTTGGCACCACATCAACAAAAGCAATAACTGATAGAGCTGAGAAATAAAACATTACAGACATCTAGAATACAACAGATGAGACAAGTGGCAAAATAATATCCTCTTCCTTAGCCATGAATTTTGCTAGCAGAAAAATGACATGTATAAATTATAAAGAATCTTGTAGGTAC